TATATGTATGTATGTATGTATATATGTATGTATGTAATATATATATATATATATATATACGTATATGATAAATGCAATATAACATATATAGACATATATTATATATATATATATGTATGAGGTATAATATTATATATATATATTATGTATCATATATATGTTGTTTTATATATACTATAATATATATATGTATATTCACATGTATATCGAGAGAGAGAGTGTGTGTGTGTGTTTTGTGAGTGTTTTGGGTGAGTGTTCGTGTAGAAACATGTATATGTGCGTTATATGATGCTCCTCCCATTTTGTCGATACGTAAGCGAATGCAAAAGTATAGTTAAAAAATTCAAATACAAACCTGCGCAGTAGGTTTGTCAAGTATTGTATTTCCAGCTAGTTGATATAGGTGGCCCTGATGGGCTCCCGCCATCCGCAAAAGGCTCTGGGTGCTGTTCAGTGACCCGGTGGTAATTTTATGGCTCGCCTCCAAACTTCCTAGGGTAATACTCTCGGCAGTAGATACCAAAGCGTTCGCGGCGCCCAGGGCACTACTCACGATACTATAAAGATGAACATTGCCTCTTAAGGTATCGGTCTCTTCAGTATCATTAGAATAACTACTTTCTTGCATCATCTTTACGGCTGCCTGGGGTAGGTACGTTGCCATTTTGGCCCACCAGAAACCATACATGACACCGGCTTTTGCAGCCCCTAGGCCCAAATTTACACCTGCATTGCTCAGAGCCACCACATCAGTCACCACGCCTACACTTACGGCTGCATTCGAGTGGTTGGCATGGAAATAACCAGGTGAATACCGCCCATACAGGCCGTCTGTGACAACTGTGGACGATATAGTTGATATAGACGTGCTCTCCATATTGGACGGCTCAGCGGTGGGGATAGTTAGTGTAGATATTGTCATATTATTTTAAAATGGGCACGCTCTAAGTGATGTGCTATTTATTATTTGGGATTCTAGAGAGGCCGTTGTGACAGTGCGCGGTAATAGTATAAAAAACATCATATATTTATGATGACTAACAAAATCACAACTGATAAGAAGATAACTTTTGATTGGATCAAACTACGAATCCGAGGCCAAGCCAGTAGTCTGCCCGTCGGCCCGACGCGATCACGCGAAGTGCCATCGACCCGTTGAGGCGTTGCCCCGTCAGCTGTCGCTAAATATTAAAGTCTGAAAAAGTTGTCCAACTCCCTCCTACGAACTACGCCCGTTCGCCCGTTCGCCGGTCTACGGACTTTTATTATTAGTCCGTTGTGGCCAACTTTTTTTTCTCTCTCTCAGTAACTACAGATAGTAGAAAGGGTCATGACTCACCGTATGTTTTAGGTTTTAGGTTTTTTAGCCGACCCGAGGCCGAGGGATTCCGGATTCGGCTATTCCGGCCGAGGGGCCGAACGCCGAGCCCCGAGGGCCGAGGCTCACTCCCTCTCTCTCTCGCAGAGTCTATCTCCCTGACTCAGAGTCTCTCAGACAGGCTCTCTCTCTCGCAGAGACGGTGAGGCGGGTGAGAGGCCGACTTTTGAAGAAAAAAAATTATGCCGGGAGCGAGCGACTCGAGCACTTCGAGCACTTCTGATGAATTTATGGAGGGGAAAAGAAGAAAAAAGGAGGGCCTTCTGGAAGGCGACTTTCCTATATTTTTATAAGTATAGAACAATAGCCACTGTCATTCTTATCTATCTTCCATTTTAACTCTTGAACGACATGTTTGCCATAATATCACTACTACGGTAATGATCGTGTGTACACCCAGTTCAATCATGGCTGCATCTATGACTCCTGCGCTAGCACTTTCCTTAAAGTTGGTAGACAAATATGGTGAAAGGCAGATCAAAGGCTTAGGTATTAAAGAGTACGATTCAGATAGTGAGGCTAGTGAAGTAGGCGAGGATGAGGGCGTGTTGAGTCGTCAGATGCGTCACTAGCAATCACCATCGAGCAGATGTTCCCGGAATCTGGAGATGCAGGGGAGAAGGGGCCAGAACTTGTACGTGTTTGGCGCCACGTACTAAAGGATGTCTTTCACCTGATGGATATGCTTTCAGACTCTAAAAGTCATGGATATCACTGGGGATTTTGGCAGTTGTAGAGAGATGCCTTATTCATAGATCAAGCTGAAGATCGCAAAATTGTAGCTAATGCTAATGTACTCGAAAATCATGGTATTTTAATCGTTTTTTATTTTGAATTAAATATATACATATACACACACATAC